ATAACATTTACACACCAGTACTGTCATATTATGCATCGCACTTAGCCTTGAGCATACCACATTATTCAGCCTCTGGGCTCAGAACGCTCTGACATTACCAGTCCCTGTTGCATCTGAGCACTGCCTACATGCTCCACCTCCAACAAGGTGTGTTCCAATTGGTTTGTTCAGCATCAGCTGACATCAGTTATATAATACTTGTGATTGAAGGAAGCCTGTTTGCAGAGGTAAGGCATGGGCAGTTTCACAATCACATGGTTCTCTACTTGCTTCCGTGTATAAGACGACACTTAATTTTTAGCCTAAAGATTTTAGACAAAAGTATCATCTTATACACAGTAAAATACAACTCCACAACCATCGATCAACAGGAACATCTCTTTGTCAGGGTTCAGGTTCTTCCAACTGATAGTGTCCTTCATGTTGTTAAGCAACTTAGATCTGACTTTATCTAGTTTTTTGGATTGTCTTCATTTGTTCAATACTTGTCAGGGCTCTGAAGGCGTAAATTACCTCTTTTTAGATGTTATCTCCCTCAATATCCAATTGCAGTAATAGATCGTTGGGGTGGATTTTTGTCACACCTTCTCCTTGACCCTATGGCAAGTTGTCCTTGCTACTGTGGGGTACTGCTAATGTAGCTACAGCCCTATCCATTGACATCTCTTGTGGGAGTGACATTTGTGTCAAGTTCTCAGGTAACCTAGCCTGAGAGAACATTTCTATCGGCCCTTCTGTAGGTGCCTTGGTCAGGGCTGTAGAATCCTTCTTTAAGGTGGATAGCAACTTCTGTAAATGTGTGATCATTTAGTCCACTTATGTGATTTCTGTTTCAGCCAGTGTTCCTAAATGCCTGCAGCTTTGTTGCTTTCTATTTTCTTTATTAGCAATTTGCTCCGATCTTTGAGGGAAGCCTGGGAACCTGGCCTTATAAAATCTTGTACAGTGGGGATTGGGTCTGGTCTATTTCTGTTTCATTGTTATTAATGGCCTTACATCTAGGTCCGAAAACAACTCTCTTTGTTGCAATGTTAAAGTTGCTTAGGAATTTCCTCATCTTTGGAAGCATCATTGGGATGACAGGGCTGGCAAATTTCAGGAGTAATCTCAGTAAATGTAGGGGGCCTGGCAGTCTTTCAATATTTTTTAAATCAATGGTTTTTAGATCAATTTAAGACCTCTGTTCTTAACAACCTGCTCAAGGACTCCAGCACTTTCTGCCTGTTGGCCCAACGACCTCTATTTGTAGAATTATCTGCAATTTTGAGGGTTATTTGGTCAGTTTGCAAGTGTGGCAGCAGGGCTTACATATACTCCCCATCTGGTTGTGGACTCAGTGGCCCCATTACTGTTTCCCAGGCAAGAAAGGTTTTGCAGAATTGGATTCTCATTTGAGCACCCATGTGGTGAATCCTGGATTCTGTCCAGTTGAAATGATATTTATTCAAGTTCATGCAAAATGGGTAATATTGTTTTCCCAGTCAGAAGGCAGTGCTCCCCCACTGTGTTTAATAGTTGTTTGATAGATGACACCAATCCTTCTGTTATTTCTGTGTTTGGAGTTGGAGAAGCTTGGGTTGCTTTATGCAAAGGAGTTTGTATTGCTGCTGTAATTTTTCTGCTGGCTGCCAAGGAGGAGCCTGCCATTGCTAGAATTTCAGCAGATAAGACAGATGTGTTTTCGTTTGCAACACAGTTGCTATCTGTGGCGTTGGCTGCCAGATGGGCGGTATATCAATCAATCAATCAAAAAAATATCTCTCTCAGAACATAGCAGGACACATAAACACTTGAACAAAAGACTTAGGTTAAACACCGGTATAAAAGCTGTTTAGCAAGAATTAGATTAAATTACTAAAACTAAAAATATAAAAGAAGCTAAATAAAAAGGCAAAGGAGCTGGATAGGGCATTTTAAAAAAGATAAAAAGCAAGGGGGAAGTGAGGAACAGAATGCTGGAACCCTTGCAAATCATCCTGATCATCATCCTGACTTCCTATTTCTCCAGTAGTGCTGTTTGGTTTCTTTCTTTTTGAGAAAGCAAAATAAAAATAAAAAGTAAAAAAACGCAAAAAAACACATGCTGGCACCTTAAAGTCTAACTTTTTTTTAATGTGAGCTTTTGTGGACAAATCCGCTTCATCGGATAAAGGACTCTCATTTCTCCTTGCCTTTCTTATCTGCAGTGGAAACTGCAGCTTGTGTTGGAGTGCCTCCTTTCCTTCACTCCCTCCATAAAGAGTAGCTTCTTTTAAAAGTTTCTTACTTCTCCTTCATTGCTCTCTCTGATTTTTCTCTCTTCTGATCTCAGAGAAGAAAAGGGGGGACATCTGCAACAACAAATCTAGGAAAGCAAAGAAGGAAAAATGTAAGGCCTTTCTAAAAAACAGAAAAAAAAACAGAAGTTGCACAAGGAAGAGAAGGAGGGGGAAATAACAGAAAGGATATGTTAAGGCATTTATAAAGATAGCTATTAGAAGACCAGGCAGAAATGAATTTCCTTTTTCTCTCTCAGACCTCATGGCCCAAAGAGAATTTAGCAGCTCGCTCTGTCTGTCTGTCTGTCTGTCTCTCGCTCTCTCTCTCTCTCTCTCTCTCTCTCTCTCTCTCTCTCTCTCTCTCTCTCTCTCTCTCTCTCTCTCTCTCTCTCTCTCTCTCTCTCTCTCTCTCTCTCTCTCTCTCTCTCTCTCTCTCTCTCTCTCTCTCTCTCTCTCTCTCTCACACACACACACACACAGAGAGAGAGAGAGAGAAAAATCTCAGAATTAGGGTAGTTCGGCTCTACAGACCTTTGATTTTTTTTAACTTGGACTGAGATCTGTTGTGCTTTGTTTAAATTAAGTATATGTTACAGTGCATTCTCATAGGTTTATTGCACAGAACTGTGAAAACACTTTCTTTTACCTCTATAACTATCCCAATATACAGTGGGTCCTCACTTAGTGACGTTAATCCATTCCAGGAAAAACGTCGCTAAGTGATTTAATCGCTAAGCAATTTTAAAAAGCCCATAGGGACGTATTAAAATGCGTTTAATATGTTCCTATGGGCTTAGAAACTAACCTTAAGCGAAATTCCTCCATAGTGGCGGCCATTTTAGGTGCCTCTAAAGCGAGGCAAAACAGCGGCCGCCATTTTGGAACCGCCAATCAGCTGTGCGAAAATGGGGGCTTTGCAATGATCATGGGGAAGTGATCATCGCAAAGCCCCCATTTTCGGCCAGCTGATCGGCGAGGCTTTGCGATGATCGCT